TATTATAAATTTTAAATGTGAATCACCTTTTTTTCATGTTATGCATCTCAAATAGCAGACAAATATGACTTGCCAAGCTTCTCGTTTGAAAAGCAAATCTGCTCCACCTATAACACAGTGGGAAAATCTTTTGTTTTTATACCACCATCTATACAAGAATAAGGTAATCTCTTGTTTTTTTAACTTTTTTGATTCAGGCATGTACTTGTCCTCTACAAGGACTGCTCAACTGTATCATGTATGGATGGCAGAGAAGAGGATTTCAAATCGCGGTTAATTTAAACAAATCCAGACAAATGCAGATTGAATCACTGAGCAAAGATTCTTTGTTGTCAAGCTACAAAACCTTCACATCAAGTATTGAAATACTGTAAAAATCTTGAATTTTTAAAGGGGTAAAGGCAGAGTTTCTTAGAAGTTTATTTCTATTTTTAATCAATGCCACATACTGAGCCAAAATTGGTTTCATATACCAATGTGTGATATGAGTAAACACATGGTGACATGTTATGTGACCAGAAATCAATTCTCCAGATGTCTAGATGCTACTGTTTGCATATGTGTAAGATGAATGATTTACCACAAAGGTGACTAGCTCAGTATTGCATGGATTGAAAGAATAGGAAAAAATCAAAACAAAATGTTATGCCCTTTAAGCTAATGGCCTGAATTTCCAAAATATCTGGCATTGGTAGTTTTTTTTGTTAAGGAATGATTTAGTTTAACAAGACTGGTAATCCAATAAGTTATTGGAATGATGCTGGCATCTGTCTGTTGACTGTCCATACATAGTCAACTTTTAAAAAAACTGCTGGACAGTTTAACTGTGTATAAAAGAGGAATGTAGATGAATATTTGTTGATATAATGGCTTTGATTATAATCTAGTAATATATGTTATCCTTTGAATTTCTCAGAGTGTTAACTTTTGTGTTACATTTAAATAAAACAGAATTTGTGTGAAAGTGTTCATGACATGATCACATTTTTTTTAAACGAATAAGTGATGGTTAAAAACCTGAGAAATCAGGCCGTTTCAAGCTCCAGTACTGTATTTGCAAAAATGTTTTTTTTGGTAAAAATAAGTAATATTTTAATAATTCAGTATACAGCAAATGTCATTTTTGATGTGCTTCAAATATGAAATACACATTACCAGTTACTCTGGACTCGTACTTCATAAAAAAGACAAATGGACACTTTGTAATGTGTGAGGCACTACAGCCACATATTATTATGTACTCAGCACAAGGAATGTCTACAGCTGCTATGAACATAAAAATATACCAAGTAAAAGAACCTGAGTAAAAATTATGAAAACACTGGAATTACATGAATAATCATCAATGCATTAAGGAAACAAAACAGTACAAAAACAGCCAATATCAAATAGACATTTCAAATTCTATTTATAGAAACTATTTCTAGAAATCTCCAAATATATTTTATTCTTTATTCCATATAAAGCAAAAATCTATAATAACTTACTGTAAATATTACATCACTAAAATGACACAAGTAAAACTAGAACCAGATTGGATTTCTTTAAATAATGCATCAATCTGCATTTCATTAGTACCTTACTACAAGTTCATTGGTCAATAGAGATATGAATATGCAAAACTTGTATAAATATTTCAATAATACTAGGGAGGCTAGCTCCTACTGCAACACCAAACTTCATTTAACTTGTAATCTTATCTGCAGTGAATAATGCAGACTTAAAAAGTGTTTTTCAAACTCTCAATGACTAATAATTCAAGACAACAAGAAACACAACAGGAAATTTGTAAAGTACAACAATGATATTTAGCTGGTACTTTGATAAAGGAGATATGTTTGTACTCATTTCGCTAAACGTATCTGTGATAAAGATAGCCATCATTATTTGAATGGCAGTGCAGTTCAAACCCCTGGACAAACCATTACAGGATTCAAGTGTGATTCTTTAGTTCTGTATAATGGTAAGCCTATTCCAACAGCATTTCACCACTGTACTAGAATCTTCAACCTCCTGCATGACCCAGGATATAAACTAAGTGTGCTGCCAATCATCTGCCAAGCCATATGTGATTGCATCTGTTATATTTCATTGGTTTGGCATACAGTTGACTCCTGTCATTAGAAACTACAGACCAAGTTCACTATAGTTATACAGTAAATAAGTGCACCTGATGTAAATTTGCTTGTTCATATGAAAATAATGATTACAAACTCCACAATCTTAACAGTGATTTTTATCTTGCACACTTTTTGACTGCATGTGAAATTAAAAGAAACGTTATGAACTTTTAGGATGAAAGAGTACATATCTGGTAAACACTATGCAAACACCATTTATCTGTAGTTTCAAAAAGCAATATGTGATCTCTATCCTGATGGAATTGCACATCTCACTGTTAATCAAGTGTGCAAATTTTTCACACCAAGGATTAAGAAGCTTGATTTCAAATATGATTAGAAAAAAAAATCATGTTAATCTAGAAAATAAATTGCTGCTTTTTTTATGCCTTAAAAGCATGGAATGAGTTATAAATATAGTTATGATTGTCTGCACATATCAGTTCATTGTAGTGCAAAAAAAATATAAATCAACAGGTTTACTAATATTAAGCTGAATTGGGAAAAAAAATGTCTGATCAACAGAACTACTTAAATAGAACAAGGTACAAATCTATGTAATATAAATAAACATACAGAAAGCATGGAAAGTTAATTTGTTTGAACTAAGGATACAGCACCCCTCTTATTGTAACATACATGGTGATAGACAAATCAGAGTACATTTACTCAGCTTCAAACTAAAGGACATGTGACCCAAATGTACTGATGGTGATAAGTAACAAAGTCAACCAATGCAGAACACTGCTTACAGGGCATAAACAAATAAAATGAGTATGATTCAATTAGTTTGTTTCTTTAAAGCTTAGTACATTCTCTGAAGTGCAATATTTGTGCGAAGTTAATATTGTTTATTTTGCATAATTAGTGAAACTTATGACATTACTTAAACTGTTCTGGTATACGAACATCACTGAAGCACAAGAAATGTGGTGGTATGCCCTACACCAAGACAAGAATCATGGCTGTATACCATTATATACATATCCATAGATAGATTGCAATGAACAAATATTGCAAAGTTCATATACTGAGTACTAGTAGAGCATCTGTACAACAGTACCGAATCATACAATGCACCTGTTGGGATCAAATGTCATTAAATCATTTATTTTCAGTACCAGTAATAAAGATGAATCCAGTCTCAATGAATGGAAATTAATTTGGCAGACCAATCTTAAGCCTTCATCTGCACAATAAAAACATGAATGTTGCACATTGACCTGGGTGAAAAAACAAACTTCAAGGACAGTGTTTTTTTGTAATGAAGTTGAGATGAATGAACAAAAGTGGTGAAAGCTAAGTTAACTCTGAAGGCAGTTATAAATTTTGTCCTTTGTGACAATTTTGATTAAGTTGCTCATTCACATTTAAATGATCTATAATGGTTCATATTAGTGACAGACTGTATAAACAACTTCAAGCAGATGAGTTTTTCTCAAGTCAAGTAAAAATAACATTGGATTCTGGTTAATAATTCTTTAGAATAAAAAAACATTTCATGTGGCTGAAGATAGTTGTGATAGATTCAAGGTATTATTATATATAATTCATCAAACACACGTTACCCTGGAACTATAGATATCGCAGTCATCCTAGATGAGCTGATGAATTAGATCAAACGCACTATGTCTGTAAACAAAGACCATTGGCGTGGAAATCACAATGAAATTTCAAAATAACAAAACCTGGTACTGGGACATGACTTAACTTGGTTGAACTGAATAAAACCTAACCCAAGGACACGATGTTCAAACTGAAAAAAAATGGGCCAATGATTTAATTAGTAGGAATGTAAAATAAATATTAGAAAACTCCCTCTAATGGGTGGAATAATGAGTAACGTATGGGCACTTACAAAGACTGATGATTTGAGAGTATTATCCGGACGGATCTGAGTTGCAGATCAACATACAGTATTCAATAAAAATAACTTTAATAGACCTTGTACATCAACCCATTCATGTTCACTCACACTTTTTCAATAATGATTGACATATTCATTCATTCAAAGGAAGTAACCAATCAAAAAGTGATATCCTCATTTTGCATTCATGTCAACCCACGTAACTGCTTCAGTCTTTGTACTATGATTGTTTCTTCCTCAAGTTTGGCCAGTACATGGATACTGAATACCACAGCAGTAGACTGTAGTTTTAAGAGTCAGCTAATTTGACGTATCAATGCTTCACTCTATTTTGTTAGTCTAAAAATGCAATGTAAGGCGCTACAACACTCTGTCCTAGTGTTTTGTTCTAATACTTAGGGTTGCTATATTATTATAAGGCAAAAAGTCATCATCTGATGATGTAATTTCTCAATCTACCTCAAAGAATTCTCCATACTTAACATCAAATAGTAGTTTATAGTTGTCTGTATTCAATTACTGTATGTGGAAGTGAGAAAACTTCTCAAATATTATTATCAACTTCCACATACTCGAAATATTGGTTTATTGTCCCTTACTGTCGTTGTATTCTTTCAATCAGCTGTCTTGGTATGCCCAGGGATAGTAGTTTATCATAGGGTAGCCGGTCAAGCTGAGGTATAACTGAGATCATTTTCTGCCAGCAGATTTCTAATAACGTTGGTACATACAGCCATACCCTGTAAAGCTCTGCTGTCCTCTCATCCCCGTAGATTGATGTAACTCCTCCATGAATGTACATACAACCTGCCTGTAAAATAAATGCAGACAACTGTAAGTACATGAAATAAATTTGAGCACATCCCTAAAATTATGAAATAATTCATCAGAACAAAATAATTCATGAGAACACACTTATAATAACTACCCATAATTGTTTCTTGTCACCAGACAAGATAATTTCATCATATGACAAGTCATTGTCAATGACACGTCCCTGTTCTGTTCATATTTGAGTGACATATACATTCAAAGCAGATCATGACCGAAATGCACCTGCATATGTACAACACATTGTACTAAATCTGAACAAAATCCATCCATGCATGACTGAGATCCGGTTCCGGAATTGTGAAAATACGTGATTTTGATGCATTTTCGGCCTTAAAATGGCCATCATTCAGCTATTGTTAAGCGGATCATGAAACAAATGCACATATCTATTTGTGACATGATGTACCATGTGTGTGTGAAGTTTGAACTTGATCAATCCAGACATGTCTCGGATACGGATCCAGAACTGAATTCTTTAAAACAAAATGGCCGCCAGTCGGCCATTTCGAACTTGATCCGGGGAAAAAAAATTACGTGCATCAAGGTCTCATTATGTTTAATGTATGTACCAAATTTGAACAAAATCCGTCCATGCATAACTGAGATCCAGGTCCGAAATGGTGAAAATGTGCGATTTCAATGCATTTTCGGCCTTAAAGCGGCCGCCATTTGGCTATCGTTAATGAGATCATGAAACAAATGCACATACATATTTGTGACATGATGTACCTTGTGTGTGTGAAGTTTGAACTCGATCAATCCAGGCATGTCTCAGATACGGATCCAGAACTGAATTCTTTAAAACAAAATGGCCGCCAGTCAGCCATTTCAAACCCGATCCAAAAAAAAAAAAATGACGTGCATCAAGGTTCTATTATGTTTAATGTATGTACCAAATTTGAACAAAATCCGTCCATGCATAACTGAGATCCGGGTTCGGAATGGTGAAAAAATGCAATTTTGATGCATTTTCGGCCTTAAAATGGCCGCTATTCGGCTATCGTTAATCGGATCATGAAAAAAATGCATGTGCATATGTCCCATATAATGTGTGATGTATGAGTGAAGTTTGAACTTAATTGGCCCATGCATGTTCGAGATACAGGTGATCACAAACGCACAGATGCACGGACGCACACAGGGCAAAACATAAGTCCCCGTTTTCGGACTACGTCCGAACGGGGACTAAAAATGTCTGTGATTGGTTGCTATGGGACATTAATTCCATATTAGTATACAAGTTATTAAATATTAACCAAGTATGGTGGAGTGGGGTACAGGACTGAATGACACTAGCTCACCTAGGAAGGTGACATTGTACAGAATGTATGGAAACATGAGTATCCTGTTCACTGGTGAACAGATAATACCAGCAGCACAACACACCATAGTTTACTAGTCACATAGTCATCTTGATGTACATGTATTTGCAATTGAATTCCATGTTGTGTAGGCAGCAACAAGAAAAGTGAGAAGTGCAGTAGTGGACATGTTTTTACTTGAATCAATAGTAGGGCAATTGCTAGAGTGAGATGAAAAACGCTCAGTTTCTTCCAATTGTGCATGTGCATGCAGGTTTGGGTGTGGTTCCACAGATCCTGGGGTCATGTCTGTCCATCCCACATCTGAGGAATTTGTTGGAATGGATCATCAAAACTCCGGGCTTTTAGACACTTGATCGATAGCCATATGTGTTGTCTAGGTAGCCTCCATTTACATATACCTATCTTTGACATGTCTGCTCAGTGAAGTCTGGTTCAAACCATTCACAAACAAGAAACAGGTGGCAATAGTGACTTGAAAACTCATCCCCAATAGATTTTAGCATATGGAATGGAACTGTGTCAACTCTTGAGGTGTGACCACTGTGACAGAACATAAACATTGAAACCCTGCGCGGTGACAATGATTCGGTCCAATTGGGTTATGGGAGAAGAGGTGATCAAAGCGCATTGCTTTGACATGATTAATGTAAGTATCATAACACATAAACAAACTGAACAAAAGTCACCAAAACATCTCAGAAATGATCACTCTTGTCTTGGTTTGACTCGCACGATGAACTAGGATAAGCAGCAGTAAGAATAGCATCCAACATTGGGGAAGCTCTATGTTCTAGTTCTCCATGACCCACTTAATCACGGCGATGAGCATATGTGGCTAGGTCAGTTTGTTTATGCTTCCAACATAATTAGGTACTGGTTACTGTATCAAGAAGGCGTACTGACCATGGCAATAAAGACAATGAGTCTATCTTGTCAAGTGGTAGGACAAAGCTGATGTTGGCAATCAGTTGGTGGTGCTTGTACCATGGATTTAATAGTGAGTGCAGTAGGAGCGAATGAAGGCTGCTGGGCAAAGTGAGCTCTATAGATAACATGTGTATATACAAGCATATCAAAGAAATCTATATACCCTAAGAGTTTGAAAATGGTGCACTTCTGGTCAATGGTGGCACCATTCTGTTTGTTGTTTCACAAATTATGCAAAGGGAAATAAGCTCATCTAATGCCCACTCAGATTCTTTTCAGTCTTCACAAATTTAAAACACACAGAAAAACATCATAACGTGAGCAGGCATATGTATGGCATTCCGTGTGTACTAGAGGTCACATGGTCTATCAAACATAGCAGGCTTGGACCACAGATAACTGCTAGTGAGTTACCGATGTAGACTATTGTCTACTAGCGTGAACAAGCAACATACAGCACAAATTAGGATAGACGATGACATTGTATACTGCGCTTCCAGTTTGTTTGATGACGTAGATAGGGAATGAACTCCCTAATTGTTAGCACTCTTCCCTAACAACCAATCATAGTATACATTTTATAACACTATGTATATTAAGTTTCAACCACAGAGGGCACCAGTCCTTTTTTCAATCATATTTCTACATGTGTGATTCTAAGCAATCATCCTTGGATCCACTAAACTGATACATGTATGTTGGATGAGAATGTCTTTAATATGGACTTTAAAGTTTGGATTCGTCAAAAGTTACGAGTTTGCATCTTCATAACCGATCACTAAATACATATTTTTTATTACCATAAACCACTCACTATAAATATCAGGGTTCTCCACGGACCAATATAGAGTAGGGGGCCCTCACTCTATAATTTGAGATATTTATAAAAATAATATAATTATGAATGGTGTCAAAACTTTTCCCAAACATATTTGGTTGGTCAACTATATTTATACAGCATTGGTACATGGGAGGTCCCACACCACATTCCCCCACCTGTGTCCCATACTGAGGTCCCACACCACATTCCCCCACCTGTGTCCCATACTGAGGTCGCACACCACATTCCCCCACCTGGGTCCCATACTGAGGTCCCACACCACATTCTCCCACCTGTGTCCCATACTGAGGTCCCACACCACATTCTCCCACCTGGGTCCCATACTGAGGTCCCACACCACATTCCCCCACCTGGGTCCCATACTGAGGTCCCACACCACATTCCCCCACCTGGGTCCCATACTGAGGTCCCACACCACATTCCCCCACCTGGGTCCCAAACCACATTCCCCCACCTGGGATCCATGCTGGTGTCCCACACCACATTCCCCCACTGGTGTCCAACACGACATGTACAGCATGTATAAAATACAGTTTTTGTTTACATGAAATTCAAGAACTATCTACTTGCCATATTGTGAAAGGTTTGAACAAACAAAGATCTGGGGCAACACAACAAGAAAGATGTAGTACAAATTAAATGACTATACATATTATTAATAGAGTCCCTATGCAGGCTGGTACCAGTCATTTTTATTTTGTGTAAATATAAAATGCTTTCAAGTTGAGTACACATGCAAGAGGAATTTTTAAATAATTTAAGTGATCAATTTGAAATTCAAATTATAACGCTTACAATGTCAGTTTTTTTAGCATGAATATGAAATTTGATATGTGAAAGAAAAAATAAACAAGAGTAATCCCATTTCCAAGTGGGGCAAAAGCAAACAAAAAACGAATAAAGTTTTAAATTCATTAACAAATTGACACAATACGTGCTAATGTACCAGTACATTGCATTTTGGGTAGATTGCCAGCGATACAAGCGGAAACGTCAAGCAATAATACATTACGGATATCAAGGTCGCCATGAAGGTCGATGAAAGGTATGCGTTTTTGTTGGAAATAGGACATTTTTATAATTACACCAAACACTATAACAGGTTACAATATAAAACTGTTATATTGTACATGTAGTTGATGTATAAACATGTGGCACAGTTCACGATGTAAAAAAAATTGTCTCGTATACAAAATAGACCCTCCTCTTGAAACACATTTTGTTTTTTACTGAAAACTCCCAAGCTTCGTGAACATAATCACACAAGTTGCTCACAGCTAATGAAAACACATAGAAGACATTACGAGTGCTTATGAAGTTGAAAGCATAAATAAAGCCACAGTAAAGTATGATTTCAACTTACGGGTGTGATAGCCGCAGCATGGAAATAAACAGGTTCTGGAAGTCGGGCTCGGAGTCTTGACCATCTTAAATTGTCTAAAGTCAGTTTCCATATATCACCAAATATACGATGCTCATCATACCCGCCACAAATGTAAACATCTAAAATATGAATAATAATACTCATATATGAATATTTAATTATGACATACTGTATTACATTCATATACAGCAGTATACATAGATTTTCAGAAAGGCGCAATAAAGGAGAATGAGATTTTGAAGTCGTTATGTGCTTCAGACATTCAGTTAATATTTATTATTATAATATTTTTTCACAGGGTTGTTTCTGGTAATTTCTTAACTGTCCATTACTGACATTTCCACAGCTTTTTTTTACTGACACACTTAATCATGAATAGAAACCATCAAATTGTTCAGACAAACATTGATAAAGAAGTCGTAGAAATACGGTTGTATGATAATTCACTATCTGCAAAACAGTATGAAAGTGTGGTTCAGAATGTGAAAAAAAATGTTTTCACAGGTAAACATTGAGCAAATAAAAACAAAGTGTGTGTAGAGGTATTCTGAATATATAGCAGCATACAAATGAATATATAGCGGCATACAACTGAATATACAGTGATATACAAATGAATATATAGCAGCATACAACTTAATATATAGCAGCATACAAATGAATATATAGCGGCATACAACTGAATATACAGTGATATACAAATGAATATATAGCAGCATACAACTTAATATATAGCGGCATACAAATGAATATATAGCGGCATACAAATGAATATATAGCGGCATACAACTGAATATATAGCGGCATACAACTGAATATACAGTGGTATACAAATGAATATATAGCAGCATACAAATGAATAAATGAATATATATAGCGGCATACAACTGAATATACAGTGGTATACAAATGAATATATAGCAGCATACAAATGAATATATAGCAGCATACAACTTAATATATAGCAGCATACAACTTAATATATAGCAGCATACAACTTAATATATAGCGGTATACAACTGAATATATAGTGGTATACAACTGAATATATAGCGGTATACAACTGAATATATAGTGGTATACAACTGAATATATAGCAGCATACAACTGAATATATAGCAGCATACAACTTAATATATAGCAGCATACAACTTAATATATAGCGGTATACAACTGAATATACAGTGGTATACAAATGAATATATAGCAGCATACAACTTAATATATAGCAGCATACAACTTAATATATAGCGGTATACAACTGAATATATAGTGGTATACAACTGAATATATAGCGGTATGCAACTGAATATATAGTGTTATAAATTAGCAAAATATATGTATATGAACTAATTGTTTAAAAAACAAACAAGCAGCCTATCGGCTGAGATAGCTCCGCTGTTAGCAATGCACATTTCAATTAAAGAACTGAAGACATCATTAGAAAATGAACAATATGAATAGTATCAAAGCAATCAGACTTACAGTTTTTAACAAGAAGTCGAAAATATCACTTTTTACCAAAAAATTACAAAAATATTCACCAAAATAAATTAATTAGAGAATTGAAGATATCATCACAAAACGAACAAATCTGAGAGAGGTCCACATGTAGTACCTATATATGTAATATCAAAGCAATCGGACTTACAGTTTTCAACAAGAAGTCGAAAATATCACTTTTTACCAAAAATGACAAAAATATTCACCAAAATTAGAGAACTGAAGATATCATCACAAAATGAACAAATCTGAGAAAGGTCTACATGTAGTATCTATATATGTAATATCAAAGCAATTGAACTATTGGTTTTTAACAAGAAGTCGAAAATATCACTTTTTACCAAAAATGACAAAAATATTCACCAAAATTAGAGAATTGAAGATATCAACATGAAATGAACAAACCTAAGAGAGGTCTACCCAAGGTACATATACACCAAGTATCAAAGCATTCAGGCTTGTAGTTTTCAAGAAGAAGTCGAAAAAGTAAAACATTGACACGGACGACGACGGACGACGACGACGGACAATCACTCATATGATAAGCTCCGCTCGACAAAGTCGACAGCGGAGCTAAAAAGAAACATACCATTTCCTTGTTGAACACAACTGTGACACCGACGTGGTGGTGGAAAATAACCCATATATGAAGCCTTAGTCTGTATAATTTCCCAACGATTAGTTTCAAAATTAAAACTATGCACCTGAAAAAAAAGAGTTAAATACTATTATGTCCTTTAACATGTAATTTTTATAGAATTTGTATAAATGAACAACATGTTTATACAGCTAATACATTGTGAAAATCCCAAAGAAAGGAAGACACTACCATACACCCTGCCTCTTGCACCCTTGCATTCGTGCACCCTCCCTCCCGCACCCTTGCATTCGTGCACCCTCCTCCCGCACCCTTGCATTCGTGCACCCTGCCTCCCGCACCC